GTTTGGCAGGCCCGGGCTGGATTCAAACTCGCCACCTTAGGTGTATGTGTCTGGCGCCTTAGCCACTTGAGCCACAGGTGCCGAGCCTATAGTTTTTAAGTAATCTTTGGAAGGCAGTTCCTCCCCTAAATGGTGACTGATGTTCAATTTTAAGGAACTAAAAAGGTTTTTTCCTCCACTCTATTACTAAGACCAGAGCGTCCCATACTGTAGTACCAGCTATAGTGGGGGGAAAGCTCTTTACATCCAGCAGGCTTGCTGAGGAGTTTTAATCCAAAGTCTCAGGAACAGACAGGGACTTTATTATTTTATAGGAAGGGTTAGCTACCCCTAGGGAGGTGCTGGAGAAAGCACTCCACAGGGAAGATCTTGAGAGAACTGAAGGAGCAGTAGAAGAGTGGAACATCCACATGAGATGTGCTTCAATGGCTTTCACAGGGAGGATTTCCTCTATGTAGAATACAGAGGACCAAGGAAGCCATCAAACCAGAGTCACAATACTTGATCTCAATCATTCCCCTTCTCAAACCATCCCCCAACTCTATTGTGATTATTTCCTGAACTACTGAGTGAAGAATCACTCTTTGAGGGTGCTATGAATATTTGGCTTGTGGAAGTCAGAAAGGGAAGGACTTAGAATGTACAGATGATTACCATCCTCCAAGTTCATGAAAGGTCATTGGCCCACCTTCAAAGTAAGAAGTCTCCAACAGCCAACTTAGATGGACATAAAACTGTCTTCTCCAACCTTTCCATTCCCTAGAAGGTAGCTATAGACGGGCTCTTGGAAAACAAAATAGTGAAAAAGTCAAACTCCTCATGCCCAACCAAACACTAGCCAGGTGAGGTGGTGTCTAGATACAAATAAAACACATTCCTGATGACAGGTGTCTCTGGAGAAGTAGGCATCAGACTTACCCTGATCTCATTTGTGCTGTATATTTGTTGGGTTTTTTTACTACACAGATTGCAAAAACTCCTCCTTTTGTGGGGAATCCCCTGCTGTCAGACCCTAGCTCCCATGATAAAGTCTAGGAAGTGCTGATCTGTTCAGTGGCATGCTGTTTAACTAAAATAACACTTTTCCCATAGCAAAGCTTTTTCAGTAGAAGCACTAACTAAAACTGATCACTCCATAGCCTGGCACAAGCCTACTGACTACACTTTGAGAATTGCAGGTCTGGGGCCATGGATTCCCTCTCCTTAGCATCCTGATACTATGTAGATGCACGTGACCTGACCTCAGCAACCAGATGCTCCTACCCAGGTATTTAGATCTGGAAGAAGAGAAACAAAGCTGCAAGGACAGTTGAGAAGTGGTGTGTGGTGGTACGAGCATTTCCAAAAGACCTGCAGTAGCCTAAGCATTGAGAGTCCGCAGGTTGCAGCAGCATCAACTGTTCCGACTTGGTACAGCAGTGGTATACTGA